GGAGAAAAGGGGGGCCCCCACCGGTCATTTTACCCATGTTTTAGCACACCCCACATGTTTTTTTCTTCCCTCGTGGGAAGTTTTTTTTCCATGTTCATATGTATAAAATAGGGTTTATTTTGTGTTTTGTGCCCTGTTCCTATGAGAGAGAGACCGAGTTCCTTTTACCACCAGTATTGTCACGTCAGGACGACGCGCGGTAGGTGGCCGAGCGTATGTAGACAGCCTGTACTGTCTGCACAGACAGCCTATGCTGTCTGCCAGCTTAGTTCATATTTCACGCCATGCTGTGTGCTGCCCTATAGGCGTTTGCCACTTCAGCCTGCCTGCCCTTGCCTCACTCTCACAGCGGCCTAGCAGGAAGACACAAGGCCTACTCCTAGCTCTCTCTCGTGGGATGGCCCTGCCCGGGCCATGGGCACAACACACAAGCCTGTGTACCCACCACGACTTAACAATAAAGTAAGAAGCCTCCGAAGACGTATCATTTACTCCCCGCTACCAGAACACCAAATAATAGCGTTATAGTAGTGATGATAGATGTGTAATGATGGTGTGCACTAATGATATATGTTTAGTGATGATAGATGTGTAGTGATGGTAGATGTGTCGTCAAAAATCACACCAGACCTGGTCGTCCAAAGCCTCACCAGAACTGGTCGTCAAAAACCACAAAAACTGGTCGTCAAAAAACCACACAAGAACTGGTCCTCAAGGCCACACAAGAACTGGGAGTCAAAATTAAATAACAAGTTCTTCATTTTTACCTGCCCAACAAGATGTTTTTCAGCCATGGTGACTGATAAGGGTCCATCTTCCTCAACTCTAAGTGATGTCATTTCCAAACCACCCAAGAGGTAGACATCAAGGCTCGTTTTTTTTATTGTGGTCCTCCCTGGTTAAGGCCTAATCCACCTACACTTCACCTCTCTTGATGTTGTTAAAAATTATCAAGTACCACTGAAGGTATAAGGTGAACAAAACAACAGGTATAACAAAAGTGTAACACACATAATGTGTGCCTTGTAAGTTCTTATAAACACTTACTTACTCGGCAGAGATAGAGGTTTTGATACCTTCTATGACTCTGCCAAGTTAATCCCATGGTTTTCCTTCTTTGGGCATAATGATAGCTCTTTCCCTTGATGGTGAAGCCCGTACACTGATAATCTTCAGAATATCTTCAGGACTCCGCCGAGAGGATATCCATCCAACAAATGCATCACAGGTCATGGATTAAAATTGCATAATGGGATCTTCAAGACTCTGCTGAGTGGACCTCACTATTTAAAATTAATCGGAAACTGTAGACTTAAGCAACCCCTAACAATAATCTAGGATTTCTGTTAATGGTGGGGGTTCCCTCAGTGGAATCCTGAAGACCCTTAACATACTTTATTGCAGATTTATGTGAATGTTGAGGTCCGCTCGGTGGAGTCCTGAAGACCTTCTCATTATAAATCTATGGCTAGGAAATATAATAATGTGAGGTTATGCAGCGCCTGTGGGGAGGGAGGAGGGGCTGGAAAGCATTCTGGTTTAATTCAGGGAACTGGAGCACAGATCCAATTCACTAGATCAAGAGCCCCTCACCAGCATCAAGGAACCTATCTTGAGGGGTCTTGTTCACCTAGCAGTGGGTGGCATCCTGGACAGGATGAGAAGTATTGGCAAGTTTCCTAACACCTGCTGTCCCTGTTCACCTTTCCACGGCAGGTGGCAATATAAACACAAATGCAGTATAATGTGATCCTTTATTGACTACGTTTCGCCCACACAGTGGGCTTTTTCAAGTCACAAACAGAACTACCTGGGGTGGAAGGAACGCGAGTATTTATAGTCCGGCTGAGGTCAGGTGAAGAATGCTGCATCTGATGATGTACCGAGTTGGGTTGTAGAGTCTAAAAACTTGGGTAGCTTGGAAAGGAGACTGGACAAGTTTGTGAGCAGACCTTCTACAGTGTTCTTATGTGGGATAGCGATGAAGAAGTTTCTTGGCAAGTGGTTCAGCTATGTTATAGAAGCCACTATTCTGGTTGAAGTTGTCGGATATAGAAATAAGTGATGATTCCAGGATTCTTCGGTATTGGGTGTTGTCTTCTGTGGCGATAAGTCTTGAGTTTCTGTAGTTTATCAAGTGGTTGTGTGAATACGGTGTTGTACGCAGGCATTCCTTGTGTCGTCAGACTGCTTGCGTATTGGTGTTCTGAAATACGTGTTTGGAGGTCCCTTGATGTTTCGCCACGTATAACTTGTTGCAGTCATTACAAGGGATTATGTATACCCCTGCAGAGGATGGAGGCTTGTCCTGCCTACTACTGGTGATGTTCTTGATGGTCGTGGTTGTGGAGGTAGATACTTGGAATGATGTTTTGGCAAAGATGTTGGAAACATGTTTGGCAATGGAGTTGGTGGGAAGGACTATGTATCTCTTCTCGGCAGTGTCTTCTCTGGGTGTGTTGAAGATGTTTAGTGCTCGCCGTCTGCAGTCTCTGATGAATGACGAGGATAGTGGAGTTTGGAAAATACCTGTTCAATTATAGTGCATTCTTCCTCAAGGAACTCGTTGCTGCAGATTCTGAGTGCACGCAGGAAGAAGCCTATAATTACACACGTTTGGTTTTGGTGTCGTGGTGAGAGTAGAAGTGGAGAAGATCGTTTTGGTTGGTGGGTTTTCGATAGACTTTAAAACGAAGTTCGTGGTCAGCTTTGCAGAGTAGAACATCAAGGAAAGGAAGAGTGTTGTCGACCTCTTCTTCAAGTGTGAACTGGATTGAAGGCTCGACCTGGTTGAGCTTGTCTTGGAGAGCTTGAACGTTGAAGCGTTTAGGAGTTATGAGGAGAATGTCGTCAACATAACGGAGCCAGGTGACAGACGAAGGAATAATGGTGGAGAAACGTTCGGCTTCTAGATGTTCCATGTATAGGTTCGCTAGGACTGCACTGAGTGGCGAACCATGGGTAGCCCAAAAGTCTGCTGAAGAGGTGTTTTTCAAAAGAGAAACACGTAAAGCCAACACATAGTTCAACCAGGTCGATGAGTCGCTGGCTGGAATGGGAAGATCAAGTGAATCGTCAATTTTCTTGCGCAAGAGATCGATGGCTTGTTTAGTAGGTACTTTAGTGAATAGGGAAGTCACGTCAAGGCTGGAAAGTTTTCTTGTTCCTGATGTTGATGTTGCGAATGCGATTGAGAAGATCACCTGAGTGTTTGAGATGTGCTGGACTGATAGTGCCCAAGAGTTTCGA